GCCACCCAATCTCCTAAATCTTATCAGGAGGGCTTTTGGTGAGGAGATGCTCCCAGGGCAATTTCTTGGAATGAAAAGGCTTAAAGGTTCTAATCGTGGTATTACTAACCATGGTAATTCCTGGTATTACTAACCAGGAATTCAGAGGGACTTGAGAATGAGGAGGGAGAGAGACAGGAGTGGTGGGGAATGGGAGGAGGGGAGGTGACAAAGGGGGACGAACACAGGTTCCCCCCTCTCTGCAGCTCCTTAGCCTGGTGGCCCTGCCTGCAGCAGCTTTTGCAAATATCTTCAGACCTTTTCACACCCCTTGAGCACGTAATGCCCTTAACCAGGGAAAGACAGAGCCATTGCTTTTTTGTTTGTTTTTTTTGAGACAGAGTCTGACTATGTCACCCTCAGTAGAGTGCTGTGGCATCACAGCTCACAGCAACCTCAAACTCTTGGGCTTAAGTGATTCTCTTGCCTCAGCCTCCCAAGTAGTTGGGACTACAGGCACCTGCCACAATGCCTGGCTATTTTTTTTTTGTTGTAGTTGTCATTACTGTTTAGCAGGCCCAGGCCAGGTTCAAACCCACCAGCCCCAGTGTATGTGGCCAGTGCCCTAACCACTGAGCTATGGGTGCTAAGCCCAACACAAGCAACTTTGTAACAAAAACCAATTACCAGGCAGGGCCTGCAGCTCAAAGGAGTAGGGCAGTTGACCCCATATGCTGAAGGTGGCGAGTTCAAACCCAGCCCCAGCCAAAAACTGCAAAAAAAAAAAAAAAAAAAAAAAAACAACCCCCAAACCAACTACCTCACTATTTCACATTTTCCTACATTCTAGGCTTTGTGCATGCACACACAATTTTTGAGATCACTGTGTTATTTGTATTCAGATGTCAATTTAACATGAAACATTTTTCTGTAATGATACTTTTAAGAACTCTACAACATTCCAACTATATCTTCTTCACACAGATCATGCACAGAAACTGGAATGTACAGACAAACTACAATGTTACTTTAGAGTGCTAAGAGAGTTTTAATGTAACATCCTTAGAAAACAGAAATTAGCTACAATATTAGGGCATCTTCTCTCTTAAAAGTCAGGGTTACACTTACTAGCCCCTGAACCTCCAGCATATTTTCCAACCACATGTGTGTCAATGACCCTTGGCAACAATTCCAAGATACTATCTTATCTTCAGGTTCTTTTCATTCTAAAGGGTTATAATCCGAGTATTAACTGATTTAAATGAAATAGTCATTCTTTTCTCTTGACCTATTTTGAACCCAGAACATGCTTTTTTTTTTTTTTTTTTTAATTTTTATTTTTGAGACAGAGTCTCACTATGTCACCCTCGGTAGAGTGCTGTGGCATCACAGCTCACAGCAACCTCAAACTCTTGGGCTTAAGTGACTCTCTTGCCTCAGCCTCCCAAGTAGCTGGGACTACAGGTGCCTGCCACAATGCCTGGCTATTTTTTGTTGTTGTTGTTCTTGTAATTGTCATTGTTGTTTGGCAGGCGTGGGCTGGGTTTGAAGTAGGTTTGAACCCGTCAGCCCCAGTGTATGTGACTAAAGCCCTAGCTCCTGAGCTACAGGTTCCAAGCCTAGAACACACTTCTTAAAATGAAATAGAAGTTCTAAGTCTTCCCATGGTCTTTCTTTTTTTTAGAAAGGAGATTTCATGTAAATAGTATCAGAATCCAACCCGGCTAAGAAGCATGCAGGGTTGGCATCAGCTACAGGCTGGCTCTTCTTCCTTGGATTGTACCTCCAACATGTAGCCAAGTACCCTTTTCTGGTGAGCTCTTTGGTCCCACCCACAGCACTTGCCTGTAAGCATTCTGGGGAGGCCCTGAGGAAGGAGCAGAAAGATACTTCTTCATGTGTGAGGTGTGAATCAGATATTGCACAGCATTGTTACTAAAACGGTCCAAGGCTACAGATAACTTAAGGCAGAAACATCAGCAATCAGAGAGAATGCTAGCTCTTAATTTTTATGAAAACACTGTTTCTTTTAACCTTTGAGTATCTCCAAGAGCACGTATCAATAGGAATGGCATATTTCTAATGTCTGGTATTTGATGTATTTCCTATTGTACTTGCTAAGTATTTTCTATAAAACCATCTTTGAGTTCACTCTGATCCAGCATCGTGACTCAGGATGAACTAATTGTTGAACCTGGCACACGTAAAGGCTACAACAATTATCACTATCATGCCTATGTCATCTTTTTATCATAGTACCTGATATTTTGGTGGCCAAAATACATGGTAAACAAGTGATTCTTGGAACTCTTTGAAGTACAAGCAACATGTACTCCACTGAAAGGGTTGATTCCACTGAATCAGTTTTAAGTATAAAAGGGAAAGGAAGTCCTTTCTGAAACTGTTGAAATATGATCATAGAAATTTTACGTGATTTGCATAAGGCCACATGACTGATTTTTGTGAAACTCACAGAGATGTTCTGTGAGGTCACGACTCTTTTAAATTCTAGTTCAGGAACCTGTTGGGAAGAATACACATCAAACGATCTTTCTGTACTGCTTATGAAATATTAGAGACCATTACAAAGCACTGTCACATGAACACGATCAGAGGTATATACAGGCTCAGTTTCCAGAATAGTCCTTTATTTCAACTAATCTATATAATACTTAAGTATTTGAATAGGACATCAGTTGCTGTAGCGAATTCTTAATCACGGATATTCAGTGAAATTAAATGTTCTATATATAGGACAGAAAAAAAGCTTTGGTGTCGCACTGATGTGAGGTAGAATTCCAGAAATGCCATTTACTGACTATGTGAATTTTTAAGGCCACTTCTGAGACTCAATTTTCTACCTGAAAAAAAGGATGACAAGACATATCTCCCGAAGGGGTTACTGGAAGGCTCAAATGAAGGTTGGGTAGAGTGCAGACATCATAGGACATAGCAACCTCACACTCTTGGGTTAAAGAAATCCTCCTGCCTCAACCTCCTGAGTAGCTAGGACTATAGGTATACATTAGTTGTCCCCAGCTAATTTTTTCAATTTTTTAGTAGAGACTGAGTTTTGCTCTTACTCAGGCTCATCCTAAACTCCTGACCTTATGCAATCCTCCCCCATTGGTCTCCCAGCATACTAGGATTATAGGCATAAGCCACCATACATGCTGAACTTAAAAAATTATTCTGGTGCTTGTTAAAATGGTAAGAAAGGCTATCAATTGTGATAGGCATCAAGACTACGGCAATAAGAGACAGATTGTGCTCACCTTTGAAAACAGCTGGAATCAGACAGCTAATGAACAGAATGGGGAAGGTTAGTGAATGGAAGATTCATAAGAAGAGATATTAAGAATAGGGAGAATAGGGAGATTCTTGCTAAACTAACTTAACAGGCAGGCCAAGGTGATCAGAGACCAATGCTGGGAGAATTATCACTAAATTGACTTAGCTGGATTCTTGTTAAAACTGGGTTAGGCACAAACGTAAATAATGTAATTAATTGTTTATATCCTTGTATATAGCTGGGGAAAAAAAACTGTGTTAGGCAGCCTAAAGACAAGACTCAAAGGACCTAATCAATGGCGGCTCACGCCTATAATCCCAGTACTCTGGGAGGCAAGGAGGGCAGACTGCCTGTGCTCAGGAGTTCAAGACCAGCCTCAGCAAAAAGGAGACCCTGCCTCTAAAAATAGCCGGGCGTTGTGGTGGGCGCCTGTAGTCCCAGCTACTTGGGAAGCTGAGGCAAGAGAATTAATTGAGCCCAAGAGTATGAGGCTGCTCTGAGCTACGACACCACAGCAGTCTACCGAGGGTGACAAAGTTAGACTGTCTCAATAAATAAATAAATAAATAATAAACAAAGAGAACTCAGGAGAGTCTGAATAAAGTTTGGACAAGAAGAGAGTCTCTGTCAGTAGAAAATGTAAAATAATTAGTCATTGTACTTAAGAGTCATCAATCAGTCCAGTGGATTTGTCAACTTTAGTGGACACTTGTTAGTCCTCATTTTGCTGATATTTCAGTAGCCTTCCAACATAAACACTTGATGGCAGTGTATTGGTCTTGCCTTCTACCTGTTTCCCAGTTAAAACACTTTGCTTTTTGTATTTCAAAAATGTTGGAATCCCCCACTGGCACAGTGGCTCCCTTACGTAACTCCAGCACTCTTGGAGGCTGGGTCAAGGAGAGCCCAGGAGCTCAAGACCAGGCTGGGTAACACACCAAGACCCTGTCTCTAAAGCCCCTCACTCCCCAAATCATACAACAAATGTTGGGATTCCCAGGATGGATCCTGCTTCCACCTAACCCCCAAATTAATGGCTTCAATTACCATCCAAGGGTGAACAGTTCAAGTTGTATTGACCAGCCAAGACTTCTCCAGAATTCCAATCAATGCATCCAACCACTTATGTCATCTACCCTTGGATGTCTCACAAGTACCCCAAAAATGAAATGTACAAAATCAAACTTATGATTTCTTTCTTTCTTTTTTTTTTTTTTTAAGAGACAGAGTCTGACTTTGTCACTTTTAATAGAGTGCCAGGGTGTTATAGCTCACAGTAACCTCCAGCTCTTGGGCTTAGGCGATTCTCTTGCCTCAGCCTCTCGAGGAGCTGGGACTACAGGTGCCTACCACAACGTCTGGCTATTTTTTAATTGCAGTTTGGCCAGGGCTGGGTTCGAACCCGCCACTCTTGGTATATGGGACTGGTGTCCTACTCACTGAGCCACAGGCACTGCTGATTTCCTCACTACTGCCCCCATTATTCTCCAGTGATTCCTAGCTCATTAAAGGGCAGCAATACAAGCTAGAAACCAGGGAGTTTCCACTGACCTGGTCTTCTCCTTCTTATCCTTTTTTTCTTCTCCATTACCCCACATCCAATCTAACCCAACAATTTTTCTCCTAAATTTAGTCCTTTCTCCATTTCTATTGCCACCCATACTAATCCAAGCCACCATAATCTCTTGCCTGGAGATTACCATCCTCCACACTGGTGCCAGAATAATCTTTTAAAAATGCAAATCTGATCGCAACTGAAGTTTTTCCCATAGTCTATAAAGCCCTACATGCTTTTTGACCCTACCTACCTCCCCAAATCTATCCTTTTTCTTTTGGAGTCATTTTGTTCAGTTTCACAGGCTTTCTTTTACTCCCTTAAGATCTTTAGAGTTGAGCCTGCTAAGAACACTTCCTGCCAGAAATACCTCAGTTTATTTTCTCTTTAAAACTTCTTTCCAGGCTCGGCGCCTATAGCTCAACCGGCTAAGGCGCCAGCCACGTACACCTAAGGTGGCGGGGTCGAATCCCCAGCCCGGACCCGCCAAACAACAATGACGGCTGCAACCAAAAAATAGCCGGGTGTTGTGGCGGGCGCCTGTGGTCCCAGCTACTTGGGAGGCGGAGGCAGGAGACTCGCTTGAGCCCAGGAGTTGGAGGTTGCTGTGAGCTGTAATGCCACGGCACTTTACCCAGGGGGACAGCTTGAGGCTCTGTCTCAAAAAAAAAAAAAAAAACTTCTTTCCAAATGCTACTTGTCAAAAAACTTTTGTGACCCTTGGAGAAAGGGTAGGTTATCTGTCATCGCAACATCCTGGACTTTTGTCTCATAGCACTTAATAACTATAATTAACCAAGCAATTATGTAAACAGTTGTCTTAATTTAATATTGATCTCCTTTGAGAGAAAGTACATTTGATTACATGTAGGTGCAGGCTACAGGCTGTCTCGTGGGCCCTACCAGCACACTTTATACACAGGCACACAAAGCTTTCACTGAATGAGTGATTACATGCATGCTTGACTACAGAGGCAATACTTTTTACATTAAATTTAATATACAGCTTCTTTTTGTTGCAGAATTTTCCGATTATGCAACAAAACACTCAATAAAAAGAATTCCTTTAAGCTTAAATTCTACTACATCAAACCATATTAAAATCTATTAACATAAAACTTCACTTCCACAATGATTTGAATCTAACAATACACATATGACATAAAGGTAACTACTTCTGTTATAGAGATTAAAATTTTTTTTTTTTTTTTTTTTTTAGAGACAGAGTTTCACTCTGTTGCCCCAGGCTAGAGCGCCCTGGAGTCATGGGTAGCTCACAGTAACCTCAAACTCCTGGGCTCAAGCAATCCTCTTGCCTCAGCCTCTCCAGTAGCTGAGACTACAGGCGCCTGCCACCACAACTGGCTAATTATTGTTTTTGGTAGAGACAGAGTCTGGCTCTTGCTCAGGCTGGTCTCACCTCCTGATCTCAAGTAATCCACCTGCTCCTGCCTCCCAGAGTGCAAGTAACATGCAGGCATAAGCTACCATGCTCGACCCGGAAAAAAAAGATTTGAGTGGCTTAATTTATACATTTAATACAAAGAAAACGATCCCCAGAACCCAATTCTTTTGTCAGTTTTTTTCCTACATTTTTTTTTTCATGTAGGGCAATTTTTACCTGAAACAAACATTCCCCCCAAATAAAGCCACCACAAATATGAATAAGTCTTTTTTATCTTTTTTTTTTTTTTTTTTTTTTTTTTTTTTTTTTTTTGAGACAGAGCCTCAAGCTGTCCCCCTGGGTAGAGTGCCATGGCATTACAGCTCACAGCAACCTCCAACTCTTGGGCTCAAGCGAGTCTCCTGCCTCAGCCTCCCAAGTAGCTGGGACCACAGGCACCCGCCACAACACCCGGCTATTTTTTTGGTTGCAGCCGTCATTGTTGTTTGGCGGGTCCGGGCTGGGGATTCGAACCCGGCACCTTAGGTGTACGTGGCTGGCGCCTTAGTCGGTTGAGCTATAGGCGCTGAGCCTTTTATCTTAAATGATTATGAGTTGTAACTATGTGCATTCGAGCCTGAATAGACTGTAAGACTGTTAAAAAGACGGTAAACAAAGCAAGTTACTCAACTTTAAACTTTCACCTTTTGATGTCACACCTATTAAAGGTTTTTACAAGTCACTCTCTTCCAATTTTTTAAATGCCCTCTCAATTTACAAACGTAAGATGACATATATCAGGCATCACACTTTTTCACAACCGCCTACAAAGCAGCTGCAGTCCTTCACTTAATGCCAGGGAACGACCGCCCCGTAAGGTCCGAGGGTTTCTGTTTTTTGTTTTTCCTACACATCACGTTGTTCAAGGGTCAGAGAACTCTGGCTGTTTTCAGGGATCAATTACAACTACGTCCCCAACACCTACATTTCTGAGTAATGACAGTGCTAGAAAACGAAGAGAAACCGTTTCTACTTACTCCACAAACGCCCTGGAGCAGAGGCACAGGATCTTACACTCTTCGCCCCGGTCTTCAATGAAGAGAAGCATTTCGGCCACGCGGCTCCACTTCTCGCAGCACATTTTCCCGCCTCAGAGGCAGCCGTGCCTACCCAGCTCCGGCCGGGCTTCTGCCAGGTTACTGGAGACCGAAAATAGGCCTCGCCGCCAAGTCCCGACTAAAATTCGGGAACTGGCCCGGGACGGCTCGTGCGCGGACCCGCCTGCACCCGGAGAAACCCGAGACGCCGCCGCCGGAAGTGGCTCCGGGAGGCCACCGGAAGGGGCGGGACGACGCGCGGTGTCACCTCGAACGTGGCCCGGGCTGGCTGCATCCTCCGCTCTTGTTTCTTCTTCGTAAGTTGCCTGCGGGAAACCGGACGCGAAATCTTTCCGCCTCGCACCATTTTCCTCAGAGGCACTGAAGAGCTCCCAGCGCTGTCGGTGGCTGAAGGCGAGGTTGCCCGCTGCTGTCCGAGGTGTGTCGGTCCCCGCATTGGTTTCCCCTCGCTCTTCCAGCCAGGCGCGGGGGCTCGCTGGGTTGGGGGCGGCGCGGGCCGCGCTTCAGTTGCCCCCGAATCCCTGGATCCCGTGGTCACGAGCCCCTCTCCCCGCCGGGCTCGGTGTTGGTCTGGGCGCCAGAGTGGCCGAGGTCCTTCCCCCGCTGGGGCGTAGCGAGCCTGTTTTCCTTGCCCCGCATCTCCCCTTGTGCTTTGAAACCTCCAGTTCGGCGCGTTTCGCGGGCAAGGCTTCTCCATTCTCAGGAAAGGCCGCTGGGCTTTGCCCAGTGACTTCCTCACTCAGGGACCCGGTTCGAGCCTCCCGGGTGAAAAAGCTAAAGGGAACTAGGTGATGATCACGGGAGTGTAGTAAGCGGGCCGCGTGGATGGGGGCTGGAGAGTGTTCGTATCCACAAACCTCCAGCTTGGAATCCTGGTTTATGCGCCTTTTCCTCCTATGTGACTTTGGCAGACTGCTTAACTTTTCCGAGCCTCATTTTGATTATTTGTAAAATGGGTTGGTAACAGTAACTACTTCGTCTGCGCTGCGGAAAGGACTCAAGAAACTGTGTATCAAACCTTCCCTTTGAGCTATTAATAGTTTGAGTAAGGTACAGACCTCGTAGGTGCCGGCCACAGTCTCTGTCCCTGCAGTTCGTAACCTGTAAAACAGGTCTCTGCGTTTCAGCTGCTAATTGTATAATAAGAAAAATATGTGCACGTGCACATACATAGGATGGAGGAAACTGGGAGAGCACGGCTAGATTTGAAAAAGGCAGTCGTTATTTTGTGTTTGGTATTCGTGGAAACTGCATCTTCCTTCAAGAAGGAAGCTTCTTCCTTCAGACTTTAAAGTTGTTGGAGGCTTCTTAGGACGTTCTTTGGGCGGTTAAATCTCAAAGTGGTAAAATCCAGATGTTTAGAACGTCACTCGTACTTCGTCCGCTTTTACTACTAGTAGGTGGAAATACAAGATTAATTTTTAAATGTTTATTCCCACATCGTTACAGCTGCCCTACTTTGAGTTTAGAAACATGCTGATTTTAGTGATTCTAGTGTAAGAGTGATGCAGAGTTAACAGATACACCAGTACAGATAGATGCACATCATTATTAGGATGAGTGGCTGGGTTAAGAAAATAAAGGTAGAACAGTAGGTATGAAATAGAGTGGAATGTTAGCTAGAAGTTGAAAGTCATATTGGGATTTAAAAAAAAACCAAATTTTGAAAGGTGTTTTACATCAGAATCTTGAGTTTGAAGCATGATATATAAAAGCTTAATGATAAAAGATTGAGTTTGCCAGATATCTTGACTGAATTATTATTATTATTTATTAATATTATTTTTAGAGACTAAGAGTCTCACTTTATTGCCCTCAGTAGAGTGCTGTGGTGTCACAGCTCACAGCAACTCCTGGGCTTAGGCGATTCTCTTGTCTCAGCCTCCAGAGTAGCTGGGACTATAGGTGCCCGCCAGAACACCCAGCTATTTTTTTGTTATTGTTGCAGTTTGGCTGGGGCGGGGGTTGAACTTGCCACCCTCCGTGTATGGGGCTGGCGCCCTACCCACTGAGCCACAGCACCGCCCAGATTGAATTATTAAATTGAAGGTTTATTCATGGTTTGAGTGCTTATTCTTTAAAATTCACTGCTATGGCTTTGTTAAAGCATTATTAAATACACAAAAGCGAAAAGAAATAATTTGTATTTCAGTGAATATTTCTTTTAATTGCCATTTTCAGAATGTTCTCAATGTGGCTTATACATTAAAAGTAAAAACTGGAAAAGTTCTGGTAATAGGTGTTTAAAAGTAGATATATTTTCTTAAAATTTTGCAGAAAATCCAAACTATCCTGTATTCTACTTTATTAGTTTTAGAAATATTCCAGTTTTAAACATTCATAAGATCAATTATAGTAATACATATGTATAAATACCCATACATAAATGTCAGTGTTATAGCAAACATCAATATCAATATGATATTTTAGCTTGTCAACTTGTTACATAATTTCCAGATTGGAAAATTAATATACTTCATACATGGTATGTGAGTCATGTGACTGTGTTCAGTTGTATCACACCCTCTCCCCCCAAACATCTTTTAACACATACAGTTCTTTTTTTTTTTGAGACAGAATCTCAAGCTGTCACCCTGGGTAGAGTGCTATGGCATCACAGTTCACAGCAACCTCAAACTCTCTTGGGCTTAAATGATTCTCTTGCCTTTGCCTCCCAAGTAGCTGAGACTACAGGCATCCACCACAACACCTGGCTATTTTTTGGTTGCAACTTCCGTGTTGCTTAGCAGATTTGGGTTCAAACCCGCTACCTTATGTGTATATAGCTGTATGTGGCTGACACCCTGCCCACTGAGCTACAGGCCCCGGCCCATATATAGTTCTTACTGGATTAAAATGAAATGTAAGAGGCTGGGTGTGGTGGCTTACACCTGTAATCCCTGCACTCTGGGAGGCCAAGGTGAGTGGATTACCTGAACTCAGAAATTCAACACCAGCCTAAGCAAGAGTGAGATCTCTAGGCAGGTGCTTGTAGTCCCAGCTACTCAGGAGGCTGAGGCAAAAGGATCCCTTGAGCCCAGAAGTTTGAGGTTGCTGTGAGCTATGATGCCGTGGCACTGTACTCAGGGTGACAGAGTGAGGCTCTGTCTCAAAAAACAGTGATCAGGAGTTAGGCACATCCTGTGGTAAATCAGGCAGAAGTAAAGGGAAGACAGGAATTACAATCTTAATATTTTTAGCCTTTCTGTCGAGAGAGAGGAAGAGGTTATACTCATTGAATTTTAAAGAGGCTTTGTTATGTTTGTATGTTATCACCTCAAAAGCACGTTATTCAGACTCTTGTAATAGTTCTATAGTAACAGGTTAGCACATGTTGGGACACTTTCTTCATCCACATTTTTTGTCTTAGAGTATGGTGTTGTGATCATTGCTCACTACAAACTCAAACTTCTGGGCTTGCGTGATCCTCCTGCTTCAGCCTACCAAGTAGCTAAGGCTATAGGCATGCATCAGCATGCACAGATAATTTTCAAAATTTTTTGTAGAGATGGGGCCTGGCTGTATGGCCCAGGATGGTCCCATGACTTCAAGGTAGGAGATTCCTCCCACCTCAGCCTCCCAAAGTGCTGGGATTACAGGTGCCAGCCACCCCACCCAGGTTGATCCATATTTTTGTTAAAGATTTCGGTGAACACAGATCTGTATTTAGCCAGCATTTGTTCGGTGCATGCTGCATATATACCAGGCATTATTCTAAGTGCTTTATCTCTGTTTTCTTGGATAACTATCTCTTTAATTTGCTGATGATTTATCCATTCTAGACAATTTTTTTTTATTGTTGGTGATTCATTGAGGGTACAAAGAACTAGGTTAAACTGATTGCATTTGTTAGGTAAAGTCCCTCTTAATAATTGTGTCCTGTCCTGGAGAGGTGTGTGGACCCCATGACCGCCCAACCCCTGCCCTCATTCCCTCTCCCTGTAACTGCCTTCCTCCACCCACCACCGTGGACTACGTCATCAGTTGTCCTCATATCAGAATTGAGTGCACATTCTAGGTAATATTTGACACAAAGGTGTGAGGGCCCTTCACTTTATTGTACACTGTATCCTATCCCTTTTGGCCTGTCAGTAGTCAAGGCATGGCCCTCTCAACTATCTCCTCTCCTTCATCATCCATTTCTCACGCTCATTGGTGCGTTATCATCAGCATTAAAAACTGCTGTATTTTCTCCTATCTTAAAACAGGAGCAGCAGCAGCAATGAACTACTGACCGATATTTGCAACTACTAGATACCCTGTATCTCTCTGCTTCTTTGTGCAACAGTGTTCCTCAGAATAGTTGTTCATATTTGCAGTTTTTAATTCATTTTCTCCCATTCTTTCTTGATCTGACTTTACTTTTATCCCCACTGTACAAAATAGCTCTTATAAGGACTTGCTAGCATCTTGTAAGTTGTAAAATCCAGTGATCAGTGATCATTTTCTTACTTTACTGTGCCTCATGTTTAAAACAGCTGAACACTCTGTCGGTTCTGAAACGCTTTCTTCCTCTGAGGTCCAGGGTGCTGCCCCCAGAAGGAGGACGCTGCTCGCCACTGTCTCCTACTTCCAAGGTTCAATCCTGGGAACTGTATTTACTCCCTAGCAGATTTACTTTAATTTCATAGCTTTAAAATGCTGTCTAGATGTTAGCAGTGCCCAGTTTTCCCAGTGTATTTCTCAGCCCCTGACCTTCCTGCTATGTGCTGCTTATGTCCAGTTGCTTACTGAACGCCTTCATTTGCATGTCCAGTAGACGTCTTAATGTATCCCACACTGAAGGCCTGATCTCATCCCACCCTCAGCCTATTCTGGCTACAACTCTGTCTTTTCATAAGCAGGTTAATAATGATGACAACAGTACTCGGTTAATACTTACATAGTAAAAAAATCTTAGAAGGATAAGATTTTTCTACGTGTGATTTTCCCTACAGTCTCATTAAGTAGATGCTGTCATTATCTCCATTTTACAGATGACAAAATTGAAGCAGGGAGATAACTAATTTTCTGGGTCACCAAGTTTTTTTTTTTAGACAGAGCTTCAAGCTGTCCTACTTGGTAGAGTGCTGTGGCATCACAGCTCACAGCAACCTCCAACTCCTGGGCTCAAGCGAGTCTCCTGCCTCCGCCTCCCAAGTAGCTGGGACCACAGGCGCCCGCCACATGCCCAGCTATTTTTTGGTTGCAGCCATCGATTCGAACCTGCCACGTTAGGTGTATGTATGTGGCTGGCACCTTAGCCACTTGAGCCACAGGCGCCCAGCCGGTCACCAAGTTATTAAGTGGTAGAGCCTCCTAGGATACAAACCCAGGTTGTCCAAAAACCTGTTGTAATCCCAGACTTCTCTCTCTCACATTCTTCATACATTCATCAGCAAATCCTGTTGGCTGTAACTTCAAAACATCATCCAGAAACTGACCGTCTCCTACACTTTCCCTCTACTGCACCTGTCCAAGCCAGTTTATCACTCATTTCAGTTACTTCAGTAGCTTCCTGTTAGTTCTCTGTGCAGTACATTCTCAACACAGCAGTCATTTAAACTCAAATCAGATTTGGGTTCTGCTCAAAGCCCTCTCATTCCTCTTCATCTCACTTAAAAGCTGGCCCACAAAGCTCTACATTGCTGCCTCTCTGGCCCATTTTTACTCTCTCTGTTACTCACTTCCTTAGCCCAGCTTCCTTGTGGCTCCTTAGGCCATGCCAAGTGCACATCTTTGGTACTTGCTCTTCTTTTAGCCAGGAGTTGTCTGTCCCCAAATATCGCGTGGTTTGCTGTCTTACTTCCTCGGGTAGAGACATCAAAGGTACCTGACAGAGAGGCCTTCCCAGACCACCCTATATAATATAGCTAGCCACTCCCTTCATACCCTCCTGCCTGCCACAGACCTCTACATTCTTCTTACCCTGCTGTTCATCTTTCTCCAGAGCACCTGTCATCATCTGAGCTAGTGTGTATTTACTAGTTCTTTGTTTCTTGTCTCTCTTCTCCCTTTAGGATATCAACTGCTTGAGACTGTTGATTTGATTGACTCCTGGGAAAGTGCTTGGTACATAGTAGGGTCCGTAGTGGCTAAATAGGTCTTTATCAAACGAGTTATCATCTCCATTTTGAGAAGACAAAACTGAGGCACCGATACAATGTGCTGAAGATGTAAAGCCGGTGTCCCAGTACACCCTGTCTGGCTCCTGAGCCCAGCAGGGTCATATACTGCGTTCATAAAACAGACTAAAAGGATAGGCTGTGTCCTAGACCATGAAAGTTAATATGGGTAAGGTGTATAAAATTTGCTGGACTCAAAAAAGTTTTTTTTCAAGCATAGTTTGTAGAGAAGTAGAAAATAGTAGTATATTTTTGTAGGAATATGAGTTAACAGTGTGATAGAGCTAATCAAACAGCTATTGTACTTCAGTTATTATGATGGTGATAGTAAACATGTAGCTCCCATTATATGTTGGCTATTGTTGTAGGCGCTTTACACAGATTACCCCATTTAAACAGAATCCTGTGGCATAGGTGGGATTATTCTAGTTTCACAGATTGTAGCAAACTGCGGCACAAAGGTTATAGTGTCTGGTCCTCTTGATATCAGATAACTGGAGTTGGTCACAGGGAGTGACTTGAATGTGAAAGGTTAAACCAAGGTTTGGAGAGCCGATGAAAGAATTAAGGATTCTGACTTAAAAAGAGGATTTTGCTGCTCATGATAGCTATTCTGAAATCAAGAGGTTGTTTGATGGAAGGGGTTCTGTGCTACAGGATTTGGTCCAGTACGGAAAAGTTAGCAGTGAGTTAAGTATAAGGAAGCCCTTTTTGGTAGTTTGAGGAATGGTTTTGGAATGGTTTTGTATGGCATACCTTTTGAGTGTTCTGTTCTAGAAGGGTTTAAATCAAAATCAAGGTTGAATGGCCATTTGTGAAGGTGGGTCTTGCACACAGCACTGTTCAGGGACTATGACGTCTCGGAGGATTCCGGGTAGCTTGTCTCACTGGGTCTCTGCCTGTGCCCTCACCTGTTTCCCTTACTGTTTTCTTTAAATGGGTATAATAAATCAGAATGTAAATTAAGAGGGTAAGAGGTCTAACTCTATTACCAGTTGGTCTGGGGAGGCACTACATAAAGTTTTAAAATCACAAGATTTTACAGTCCTATTAAAAATTGGAAATAAGAATAGATTATTGTGGGTAATTGTATTAAGCAGTTGGGATCAGATCATCAAAGTGTTGATTGTTTTTTAAGCCTAAGAAAGACTCCTTTTAATATATATGGGAGGTTATCATAAATTTTGTTAACTTATTAACAATATGAGACATAATTCATCGTGACAGTAACCATTTTAAAGTGTGTGGCTCGGTGGTTTTCATTACAAGGTTGTACTGTCTAATTCCAGGACGTTTGCGTGATCACAAAGATATTTCCATTTGTGGTTATGCCTTATTTTCCCCTCCCCTCGCCCCGGCAGCCACTAAGCTTTCTATTTCTGTAGGTAAGCTTATTCTGGGTATTTCATAGACATGAAATTATACAATACATGGCCTTGCGTATCCAGCTTTTTCACTTAGCATGAATGTCTGCAAGACCCATACGTGTTACAGTGCAAACCAGGGCTTCCTGCCTTTCTGTGGCTGGGTGCTGTTCTGTTATATGGATAGGCCACATTTTGTTTATCCATCAGTTTCCATTTTGGCTGTTATGAATAAGGCGATTGTGAACACTTGTGTACAACTTTTTGTGTGAATGTTTTCAGTTGTCTTGGATATATACTAGGAGTGGAATTACTGGGTTACATAGTAACTCTGTTTAGCTTCTTTGAGGAGTTGTCAGACGGATTTCCACAATGGCTGTACCCTTCTACATTCCTAACTGTATGTGAAATTCTAATTTCTCTACATCATTGACATTTTTTTTTCTTTTTGGGAGAGGTTATAGTCATCTAGTGGGAAAAGCTCTCAATTTAAAAAGTATTAAATTTTGAGGCCTGTAATTTCAGCACTTTAGGAGGCCACGGCAGGAGGATCACTTGAGCCCGGGAGTTCAAGACCAGCCTGGACAATATAGTGAGACCCTGACTCTACAAACAAAATTTAAAAAATTAGCCAGGTTTGGTGGCATGTACCAGTAGTTCCAGCTGCATGGAGACTGAGGCAGGAGGATCCCTTGAGCATAAAAAGTGAGCTGGAGGCCAGGCATGGAGCCTTATGCCTATAATCTTAGCACTCTGGGAGGCTGAGGCAGGTTTCTTGAGCTCACAAGTTCAAGACCAGCCTGAGCAAGGGTGAGACCCTGTCTCTAAAAAAATAGCTGGGTGTTGTGGTGGGCACCTGTAGTCCCAGCTACTCAGGAGACTGAGGCAGGAGGATCACTTAAACCCAGGAATTTGAGGTTGATGTGAGCTAGGTAGATGTCATGTCATTCTAGCCTGGGGGAACAGAATGAGACTGTCTCAAAAAAAGGGGGCATGTGTGTTAAATTTTGCTGTGTTGCATTCTAAATGATCATGCACAGGTAAGTTAACTTGTTAAGATGGATTGATTAGAAGAAGATACAAAACAAAGCCCAGGTTGTGTGCTGTGTTCACTTTCCATTGAAATGATTTTCATTGAGTTTGTCTAGTATGGAATAATGATAAAATAGCTCTAATAATAGAATCAGAACCAGAGAAAATATGAGTGGAAGAAAGAAAGCAAGGAAATTTTACATAGAAAATATCATAGAGCTGATATCATTGTATTGTTGAATATCGTGTGATTGTCAGCTTATCTGGCAAAGTTACTAAAAAGAAACATAGTCAGTTTCATGCTCTTCCTCCCAAGAAGCACAGCTTTTTTATAGCATTGTTAAGAATTTTTTTAGGTGAGGCTTCATATAGGGGCACTAAATAGTGTAGAGTTACCCTCACTAAAACAGTGGTAGCATGAGTATAATTTTAAATTATAATATACTAGTGTGGGAGCTATTATTTATTTCTTACATTTGTTTACTGTGTTTTTCAGAATATATACATTGAAGTTTGGGACAAGATATTTATCCAACTTCTGGTAAGTGAATGACTATTTAAGAGAGTGAATTTATGAAATAATTGTGTGGCAGTATTTCCAATCATTTAAGATTTTAAGAGAAATTTTCATGACTAAGATACAATACTGATACTTTTTTATTGCGTAATGTTAGAAGAACATGTAGCTTTCTCTGTAAACCTTTTCTCCATAAAAGACTATATCCTAAATGTATGTTATCATTTTCTAGAGAATTGGGTTACTTTTATTGAGTCAGATATTGATGTTTTGTGTAAAACAGTTATTCAGCATGACCTAGTTTTAAGATTCAGCTGTTCAACATGATCCATTTAAGATAAGAGTCAAATTAATAAGATCAATCAGAAGTTTCATTCCTTATCAGCTATATTTTCCTCTCTGAACATAGCTTCATTTTCCTTTCTCAATTACAGTGGGTTATTTCAAAGGCTAAACAACATGAGCAGACAGATGAAACCTTTGATTTTCCCTTTAAAATATGGAGTAAAGTTAACCATTAACAATCTTTTCATTTTTGGTATTAAGAAATGACTATATAGTATTTATGTAAACTAAGACATTTAATTTTATAGCTATGAAGAAATAATACTGGATTATTTTTTCCTTCTAGTGTGAAAGTTAAAGACCTGCTATGACCATGAAGAAAGAAACTGAATTTGTCATTTTCATCTAAAGAAAAATGATAGACAAAAATCAAACCTGTGGTGCAGGACAGGATTCTGTGCCTTATGTGACTTGTCTGATCCACATATTTGAAGAATGGTTCGGTGTGGAGCAGTTGGAGGACTATTTGAATTTTGCAAACTATCTCTTGTGGGTTTTTACACCACTCATACTTTTAATACTTCCTTACTTTACCATCTTTCTTCTCTACCTTACTATTATTTTCTTACACATTTATAAGAGAAAGAATGTATTAAAAGAAGCCTACTCTCATAATTTATGGGACGGTGCGAGGAAAACAGTGGCGACTCTGTGGGATGGACACGCAGCAGTCTGGCACGGTAAGCAAGGACACTTCAATCTCTCTGGTGTTGTCCCTGTGTCTGGCACCAAAACTATATTGTTAGTCTATTTTGTTTGAGAAGATAACTGAAACACGTAATAGAAATGGTACTTACTGTTCCCTGTTATCTACTTGTATCCATCTTGCATATGTATGTCTTTCTTAAAATGATGTTTTCCAAATATATTAGTTCCATTAGACAAAGAACAACATAGCACGACTACGACTATAAGTTGAAGTATGAAAATGTACATTTAAAATACCTAAAAGAGTAAGAGGTTAATTAAAAGCTGCTTAGAAAACAGTTTTAAAATGCTTTATTTTAGCATTTTACTCTTGTCCTGTTCAGAATAAGTTTGACTTTTACCCAAGATTTTTTCTATGAAATATTAAATAATAATGCTATAACATTAAATGCAATTTGAATACCAAATTTACCCATTTTGTGTTTAATTTATCCCAGAGTCATTGTGTCTTTCTGAATAAACGAGACGGCAATAAATTTATCTCCAAGATATTCATTCTTTTCTTTCTCACTTGAGAAATTGTGATTTTATTTATTTAGTGAGAGGTAGTTGTTCATTTTCCATCGTGAAAATTGCCCTTCAGTCCCCTATTTCCAAGGGCTTAATGTTTTTCTGTACCAAGTTTTACTTCATTATTTCACCAGTACCTTCCTTGTTGGTCTCTTTTGTTTCTGGACTATCCCAACATACCAAAGATTCAATAAGCATGTAACAAAGATCGCTTTTCTGTATTATGTTGTTGAGCATTAAAGTGGTTTCACGGATGGGCAGGGAGGAAGCACAGACTTTGAAATAGACACTTGAAGATGTATACATCACTGAGGTCTAAGGCTGCTCTTGGCAAAGATCCCCGGTGACATACTTATTATTAGGCGAATGTGGTGGTGTTTTAATACTACCCACATTTACATACCTACAAATCTTTTTTGAACACTTACTGTGCCAGACATTGTCAAATTATCAACTTAACTCCTTCAACAATCATAACAGTAGATAAATTCTATGTGCTATTCCATTTTACTCACAAGGAAACTGAGGCACAGAGAGGTTGTTATTTGCCCAAGGTATTCTTGGAAGCAGGGCCAGGATACAACTCAAGCCATCTGGAACTTAAGTACTGTGTTTTGTGCTGTAAGTCTGTTGCAGTTTGGAGATTTGAGGCCAAAGTCATAGTAGTCAGCAGATAAACAAACAGGACCCATATGCCTTTGACGTATTGAATTCTTAATGTTCACTCATTACTGCTAAAGCCTGTGCCAGTTAATACCACTCTTAGAATCTCTTGTTAGACATGAGACAGTATGACATTTCAATGCTGCACACATACATGTCTGCAGAGACCATATCCGTGTAGACTGCTATGGTACATTGTCTTTAAAACAGTTATATAAAAATTAACTGGTGTGGGACGGGTGTGGTTTCTCACACATGTAACCCTAGCACTCTGGGAGGCCGAGGTGGGTGGATTACCTGAGCTTATGGGTTCGAGACCAGCCTGAGCAAGAGTGAGACCTCGTCTCTAAAAATAGCTGGGCATTATGGTGGGTGCCTATAGTCCCAGCTACTCAAGAGGCTGAGGCAAGAGAATTGCTTGAGCCCAAGAGTTTGAGGTTGCTGGGATCTGTGATGCCATGGCATCATAGCATCCTCAAAGTCTTGGGCTCAAGCAGTCCTCTTGCCTCAGCCTGCCAAGTTGTTGGGACGACAGGCACCTACCACAACACCAGGCTATTTTTTTACAGACAAGGTCTCTCTCTTGCTCAGGCTGCTCTTAAACTCCTGAGCTCAAGCGTCTGCCTGCCTCGGCCTCCCAGAGTGCTGGTATTAGAGGTGTGAGCCACCACACCTGGCTCTTCAAAGACATATTTGTCATTCATATTTCCATTATTTCTGGAAAATATGAATGGCATTTTTAAAATCTGGACTCATGTATTTAAAAGTTTCCCCTGAAAATTAATAATATGAGGAAGATTTCTCAATAAGATGTCTAGAAGTTTTTGAGAGAATCAAAAATTGTGCATTTTAGGTCAGGTGCGGTGGCTCATGTCTGTAATCCTAACCCATCTGCTGCGATGGGTGGATTGCCTGAGCTCACAGGTTAAAGACCACCCTGAGCCACAGCGAGACCCCATCTCTTAAAAATAGCTGGGTGTTGTGGCAGGCGCCTGTACACCTGGGAAGCTGAGGGGAGTGAATCACTTGAGCCCAAGAGTTTGAGGGTGCTGTGAGATATAACACCACGGCGCTCTGTTGAGGACGACAGAGTGAGCTCTGTCTCCAGAATAAAAAAAAACCTGTGCATTTCAGCATAACTGTTAAAATAATCAAGACTGTAACTTTCACTTCAAGGAAATAAGGCGTATTTTATCTTGGGGACATTTATTTGCCTGTTTTTTCTTGTTTCATTTCGTGTGAGTGTATTGTGGTTTTGTTTTTGTTTTACAAGGAAATTTACTTCATTATATGAAAATAATACTTACTATACCTACTTATCACCAACATTTTAACATCATCTTATTGGCAACATAAAATTTGGGGAAATACAATGCTTTGATAAATTAGATAGTCTGATCATATGGTTTATTATTTATATGAGTTACTGATTTTAAAAAAATAGACCACAACAGCACAAACTCTAAACTTGATTTTACTTAATATTTGAATACGTTTTTTAAAGAAATGGACACTTTGCTTTTTAGTGAATGTGGTTTAATATGTGTTAAACCGTGTGTAGCAAAGTTATTTTTGGAAAGTTAAATTGAGACATCAGGAAATGTCCTTCTTTCCTTCAGCTGGGTGAGTGCCATCTTTCCCCGTCTCTGTCCTTCATGCAGTGAAGGACTCAGTCAGACTGACTGGGATCAGAAAACCCCTTGGGCAAGTTACTTAGCTTTTATTTCATCTTCCTTCCCTCTCCCTCCTCTTAAGCAACAATTATGATTTTTTTAAAAATTCACTTTGAAAAAAGTCTAGATTTACAGAAAACTTGCAAGAATCTCCATAGTTCATTCAACTTCCCCTTAACATCTTAAAAGACCCTTGTAAAATTACCAGATTCATAATTATGTAAGGTAATTATGACACCACAACACTGTTGGTGTCAACACTACTGAAAGGAAGGAAAGAGAACAGGATCGGGTAGAGGAAGACACTCAGCTCTGAAGTGAAGGAATAAATTAGTACAATACTATTAACCAAAAATTTGTCTCAAATTTTAGTTTCCACCAGTGTCTTTTTTTTTTTTTTGCATTTGCTTGTCGTATTTCCTACAGTCTATGACAGTTTCGTATTTATTTATTTATTGACCCTTCTGAAGAACACTGGTCAGTTATTTTATAGATTGTCTTTCAATTCAGATTTGATGTTTTCCATGATTAGATCGAGGTTATGCATTTTTTACAAGAATGCCACAAAAAATGTTCACGTGTCCTCTGCATTACATGTATAGCAGAGGGTTCATACACTAATAATATCTTCTACATTTTTTTTTTTTTTGAGACAGAGTCTTACTTTGTTGCCCTCAGTAGAGTGCTATGGCATCATAGCTCACAGCAATTTCCAACTCTTGGGCTTAAGCGATTCTCTTGCCTCAGCCTCCCCAGCAACTGGGACTACAGGCGCCCACCACAATGCCTGGCTATTTTTAGTGGTGGGTATCTCGCTCTGGCTCAGGGTGGTCTTGAACCTGTGAGGTCAGGCAATCTACCCACCTTGGCCTCCCAGAGTGCTAGGATTACAGGCATGAGCTGCAGCTCCCAACCCGGTATCTTCTACAACTTGAATACTACTGGGTTCAACTTAACAGCTTATGCTCAAGATCCCTAGTATTCAAAATATAGTTTTAGGTTATCTAAGTTTTGACCATTATTCCTATTAAGAAATGCATTCTGGGCTTGGCGCCTGTAGCTCAGTGGCTAGGGCGCCAGCCACATACAATGGAGTTGGCAGGTCTGAACCCAGCCTCTGCCTGCCAAACAACGATGACAACTACAACCAAAAAATAGCTGGGCATTGTGGCAGGTGCCTTTAGTCCCAGCTACCTGGGAGGCTGAGGCAAGAGAACGCTTAAGCCTGAGAGTTTGAGGTTGCTGTGAGCTGTGACATCACAGCACTCTACCAAGGGTAACATAGACTCTGTCTCAAAAAAGAAGAAATGCATTCTGCCTTCCAGTACACATGTACTGTATATACTGTGTCATGAAAAGTATCCACTTGACCCTTGAACAATGTAGTGTCAGGGCCCCTCTGTAGTAAAATCTGTGTATAACTTTTAACTCTCCCCAGACTTGATTAACATATATTTTGTGTGTTTATATATTATATGCTGTATTCTTAAAATAAGCTAGAGAAGAGAAAATGTTATTAAAATTGTAAGGAAGAAAAGCTATATTTACTATTCATTAAGTGGAAGTGGGTCAGGTAAAGGTCTTCACATTCAGTAAGCTGAGGAAGTGGAGACCTTCTTGCTACCTTGGGTTTCAGAAACAAAAGAAGATCCATGTAGAAGTAGACTTGTACAGTCTGAAACTGTGTTGTTTAAGGGTCAACTTGAGAGTTTGAAAATCACTTTTTTGGATGTAGGTTGGTGTGGACAGTTGACCCTGGTATCTTCAGAAATTGGTTCTAGGTTCTACCTCCAATTTTTGTATCTGTGGATGTTCACATCCCTTATATAAAAACGGCATAGCGTACGTACCTCCTCCAGTATACTTGAAATCATATTTAGAGTACTTAGTAATACTTAATAAAATGTAAATGTATGTCAGAGGTGCCAAAAAAAGTATACACATTTTTTAAGAAGGAAAAATCTGTATTAAATTTGTAATACTCAAGTCATATTTGACTTCTGCAGTTACAAAGGATGCTCAGGGTGGCTTCTGTTCATCTTTTGTTATCAGTATATGTTGAGAATTACAATTTTAGTATAGTTTTTTCCTTTCTTAAAATGAATATGTACTTTTTTTGGCACCTC